ACCAAAGGAGAGTGGCCAGAAGGCTTACACCTTCAGAGAAAAATCTTTATAAACTTCATTTTGACCTAATAAAGACATTGCCATATGAATTGTTTTATATTGTAATCTATTAGGAAAATTCAAAGTATGATCTTACTATGTTTTTATATTTCCAGACTCAGTCTCTAAATGATGAAAAGCAAAGTTACATTCAGAATTAAGCAGATCATTGCACTGTTGTCCACGGTACACTTTTTGAATTGACTGTGTATTTTTATGCCAAATTGGACCAGTAATATATTGCATTTAATGTTTCAGCTCCGCTGCTGTCTCCTAAAATAAAATTCCTTGATCTTTGATCTTGTTCAGCGGATTTCTTTAAAAAAAAAAATGTACATGCAAACAATTTGAAGGCTTGCAGCTGAGCAGTTTTATCAGTCACTGATGGACAAATTTGCTCTTGTTCCACACCATATAATCATGCCTGACAGCTTATTTAAAGTATCTAGGACATTTCCTACATTAAGAGCTTCCATCTATGCCTTTTAAAACTGCAATATTGATTGTCCATCATTGCTGGATCTGGGCCCTCTTTTGGCTTGGGCAAAAGACACTGAAGATGTTGGGTGGAGCTGTAAGCTACAGGCAATGCCATATAATTTTTGTTGAAGAAACATCACTTGAGTGCTTCTACCTTAATTAGGAATATCAGTTTTTAAAGTTTTAAAATGCTCGTTCTATGCTTGCCAAAAAGGAAATGGATTTTAGTTCAAAATGACTTGAAATAAAAGCAGATGAATGCTTTCCCCCTTGAATATATAAGCATTAAAACAAATATATGACATCACTATCCTTGCATTTCCCAGTAATTTTTTCCAGGATTGAACTTTTGTGGCTGCAAATCTAATTTTTTAAGGAATACCAGCTGCACTTCAGTATGTAGTACATGGCTCGGGGGGGTGGGGAGGGGGTTCTATAAGAAACATAACTAACCACCCGCTTTCAAGCATGTATGGTATTATTACAGCATAAAGGCTTAGCTTTCATAATTTTCTGTTATGATTCCATCAAGAATCTGGCTCCTTCAAAATTGCTACTTTCTATATAATATAAAAGTGAAAGTAAAAACTGGGGTCCAGTTGAACCTATACCAAATTCAAATCCACAATTTTGTATGTTACATCAAACAGAATTAAAATCCTAATCTAATGTTTTTCCATTGTCATAAGTGCAAAGACATCCCCTAGCCATTGAAAGAAAGAAAGAAAAGCAACAGGGTACTTTGGTGGATCAACAGTCAGATTCTCAGTCTGAAGGGTGGCACTGAAAAAGTCTCTTCTTACTTTAGAAACACAAAACAAGCCAGGTATTATTAGTAAAAACAAGTTAAGACATCTGAAAAGGGGAGAGTAGGAAGAAAAGGCTACTTCTGATGCTTATCTTCAGCTCAGATAGAAACCTCTAATATAATATACAATTGTGTAAATGATGAACTGAGGCGGACTTACTTTTTAATTAAAAATGTCTATGTTAATCTCAAATCTATAGATACCACTTTAACATTTTTAAGGACAGGAAGCCATTGATCAGGCATTATTGGAGACCTCAGTTCTTTTATACGTACATGCAATTTGAATAATTACTTACAACCATTTTTTGTGTGTCTGGTTAGCATCTTCAAAGCATGGTATTCATAACTGCATTATAGGCCGTGCATTTTTGATCGGATTCCTGCAAACAGGACAAAGATCTAGGTAGAATGGAAAATAGATGTAATTCTTTCTTTTACCTCTGGGTGCCATGATTGCTCTAAAATGAAAGTTGAAGCCAAACATTACTACTTTATACAGTACAGTATTTAGTATTTGAGGGGGTATAAAAACATGCCTTTATCCTTAAATGCAAATTATTTTCTTTTAAAAGTATGTTACTGACATTTATAGAAGATTAATTCATAAGAATCCTCTACTTTGACACTTCAACGGTGCTTTAGCATTACGAGTTCCAAAACAACTGAAACTGGAGAGAATATCTGAGCACTGCCTATGGAGGAGTTTTAAACCAAAAGATTTTGGGTTACTGACCAGATAAAACGTACATAGCTAGCTATATGCAATTAATGTTGACCCATTTAGAAGTGATAGGAT